AACAAACTGTGGATCCCCTAGGACTGAGGGAATGTGTTCTCTTTCTGGGTCCACAGGGGGGCATAGTTTTAAGGACAAGAACTTCCCAGCACCATGCCTCCCTCCCATCTCTCTGCATCCGGGAGATTTAACAGTTTATGTTTGAATTTCACGGGTGCAGGAAGAAACTAAGAGTCAGTCACTCCAGCGGAAGTTCTAAGCAACTCCTTTCATTGGCCAGGGGTCTTAGAGAAGGTGGGGGTTCCTCCCAGGTTAAAAGTCCCCTTCTTCCACACCCCTTCGGACTCCATGTTTGGGTCCCCTTCCATGAACACTCCCTTCCTGGAAGCCATCTTTCTCTCTCGTGGATTTCCCACCTGGGGTCCCCTTCCACACTCTCTCGTGGAAGCCTGTCTTCCCCTCCTAAATTCCATCTCTCTATTCCCTTTCACTCAGTGAGGAAGTTGCTTTTCTCTCCTGGATTCCATCTTTCTGGATTCTCTCACTCAGTGTGAGAGTTAGCTGTCTCTTTCTCTCTCCTTCTCCTGTTTCTCTCTCTTTAAATGAATCACTTTCTACAAACACTTAAGTCCGGCATTTACTGCACACTGCACCATGGTCCCCTCTCTCATTCTTGAGAGGGCAGGAGACCAAACACCTGGAGAAACGTCCTCTCAGGGGAGCTGAGGGCACCGTGAACCCCAATATTACAGGACTAGCCAGAAGAGCTGCCAGAGGCCTGTGGATCAGCAAACCCAATAGTCTCTGCTTCGATCAGAACAGGTATTCTATACACTCTTTTATTTATTGATGTTTCTGCATGAAGTTCACTTTGGTAGGTTTCACTGCGAAACAGTGAAACTCTTGGCTTCCTGATCCATTAAGTACTTCCAGAGCTGACTGGCTCAGTTGTTCGGGGAAGGGCAGGGGTATTCCACTTCCCCAATTCTACCTACTTTTCTTGGATCTCCTCTCTGGGCTCCCCTACTGCTCACCCTCTTCTGTTGCCCTGATCAGGCCATGAGTCCCAACAGCCTGAAGGCTGCATTTTTCAAGCCAGACTCTAGGATGCCTGTCTGTGTGTGGTCCAGGCACCTGGGGTGTACCTGGGGTGTGCCTGGAGTACCTGATTCCAGGAAGCCTGTCTCATCTGCTTCCTCCATGGACGGGGCCAGGGCTGGCCTTGCTGCCAGGTGGGAGGGGATTGCCCTGTGCGCCTCTCACAACATGTGCCCCAGCCACAGCCCTCCCGGCTTTGGGCAGTAGGCAGCCAGCAGTGTGTCACATGCCTTTTGTCAGCCTTGGAGATATAACTTCACACAAAGGCAGCTGTGGATGAGCATTTGTGGGAAAGTGGGGCACCGCTAGAATGATGCTGACCTTTGGTAGCTAAAAGTCACCACCAGGGTGAGCCACATTTTCTAAATACTCATTGGCATTTCTGTTCTGTAGCCGATCCAGGGTGGTGTCAGGTTTCTCCCCTTTCCTCAGAGTACCCTTACGCCATGGAGGGTGGGGCTGGGCAAAGTCCAGGCTCACTCCTCACTTGAAAATGCTTCTAAATTCCAAGCTCAATCTAAACTGTTGTCTGTTGGCTGTGCAGCCAAGCTCGAGGGGCCACTGGAGGATCATTCACAAGTGTTTGTGCTCCTTGTACTTGTCTTTGTTTCTTTAGTTTTTGTGTTTTGAGATGGAGCCTTGCTCTGTCACCCAGGCTGGAGTGCAAAGGTGTGATCTCAGCTCACTCCAGCTTCCGCCTCCCAGGTTCAAGTGATTCTCCTGCCTCAGCCTCCTGAGTAGCTGGGACTGTAGGCGCATGCCACTGCACTTGGCTAATTTTTGTAATTTTAGTAGAGATGGGGTTTCGCCTTGTTGGCCAGGTCTTGAACTCCTGACCTCCAGTGATCTGCCCACCTTGGCCTCCTAAAGTGCTGGGATTAAGCGTGAGCCAGTGCGCCTGGCCTCTTTGTACCTGTCTTTATGAGCAAGGAGGATGGTCAGGAAGGGGGAAGCGTGGGGCAGAGAAGTGTGAGTCTGAGATGACAAGCCCCATCGCTCCATGCAGTGGGCACACCCACCTGCATTTGGGAATGCAGTTGAGGTAGCAATAGGCAGCCTTTCTAATGAGGAGAATCCTTTCCAATGAGAAGTTCTTGAGCTGAGTCAAGCACAAAGGGCAGAAGGCTGACCCAGCCTTGGGAAATCCTGCTGGAGTGGGATGCTAACAAGGAACCTCCGAGAGGTGTGGTTCAGAGCTGGGAGTAGAACCAACAAATACAGAACCCTAGGGCCAAGGGATCAGGGAGTTTCAAGAAGGAAGTGCCAAATGTCACATAAAGGGCAGGAGGGCAGTGATTTAAGAGAGACTAGTCAGTAAATGTGATGATGTGATTACAGTTTAGACCATCGAACTAACATAATATGTTTTCCCAAACTACAAATGGCCTTATATACCACATCCCCAGATGATTTGGGCCTGCCAACTTATCCAGGTAGAATACAGATGAGCTTGGGAGGGCCAGGAAGGCTTCAGAGAGGCGCTGATGAGATCTGATAAAGGACACAGGTCTGTGGGTGCCACCTGGAAGGTGTGTTTCCATCGGGCACTGCTCTGGAGCTGGGAATGGGTGGGAGAGGGATAGGGGGAGAAAGAGGTTGATGGGGCATTGCAGGGCTGAGGATGGAGAATGGGCTGGAGCTCCAGGGGGTAGGGAATTTGGGCCCACTGTGCCGCATTTTTGTTTCCTTATCAGTGTCTGCCTATGTAGGTTCCTAGCAAAGAAATAATTTACAAAAAGTGACTGAATGAATAAATGTTTAGTGCGAGATAGTCCAGTGTAACCATGAATTCAAAATTGGGTGAAATGAGAAGGCAAATAGCATGTCAGGCAGTCAGCTTATCTCAGAGTGGGGGACATTGATGGAGGGACTCGGGGCAAATGCTTAATAATATTAATAGCCCTTATGACACTTCTCTGTACTACCACTATAAGCACTTCATGCAGATGGGGTCAGCAAACTTTTTCTGTAAAGAACCAGGTAATAAGTATGTATTGGAGGCCTTGTGGGCCATATGGTCTGTGGCGCAACTGTTCAGCTCCTCTGTGGTATCACATAAACAACCATAGATGATATGTAAATTAATGAACATGGCTGTGTTCTAATAAAACTTTATTTATAAAACATGTGATGGGCCAACACCTGATGTATATAGTATTGACTTATTTAATCTTCAGAAGTTCTATGTGGTAACTACTGCTATCATTATCACCATTTTATTTTTGGTATTTTTTTCTTTTTTTTGAATTACCTACTTTTAAAAGTCCTACTTTTTAAATTTATTTTTACGGGTGTGTATTAGATGTATATGGGCTACATGAGCTATTTTGATATGGGCATACAATGCATAAAAATCATGTCAGGGTAATGAAGTGTCCATTATCTCAAGCATTTATCATTTCTTTGTGTTACAAACATCCAATTCTTTTAGTTATTTTTAAACGTACAATAAATTATTGTTGACTATAGTCACCCTGTTATCAAATACCAGATTATATTCTATACGATCACTCTGACTGTATTTTTGTGCCCATTAATCATCCCCTCTTTCTCTCCCCAACACTTCCCCACCCCACAACTACCCTTCCCAGCCTCTAGTAACCACCCTTCTACTCTCCAGCTCCGTAAGTTCAATTGTTTTCATCTTTAGCTCCCACAAACAAGAATATGTGAAGCTTGTCTTTCTGTGCCTGGCTTATTTCACTTAACATGATGTCCTCTAGTTCCATCCGTGTTGTAAGTAATAGGATCTTGTTCTTTTCTATGGCTGAATATTGTGTATACGTACCACAAGTTCTGTATCCATTCATCTGTTGATGGACACTTAGGTTGCTTCCAAATCTTGGCTCTTATGAACAGGGCTGCAGTAAACATGGGAGTGCAGATATCTCTTCAGCATTCTGAATTCCTTTCTTTTGAAGGGAACTTGAATATATACCCAGCAGTGGGGTTGCTGGATCATATGTAGCTGTGTTTTTAGTTTTCTGAGGAACCTCCATACTGTTCTTTATAGAGGCTGTACGAATTTACATTCCCACCAACAGTGTACTAGGGTTCCCTTTACTCCATATCCTTACCAGCATTTCATTATCAACACAGATGAAGAAATGGAGAAGCATAGAGACTCAGTAATTTGCCTGAGGCCACATGGCTATGAAGGGGTATGGGCAGGATTTGAATCCAGGCAAGTCTACTCCAGAGTCCATGGTGGTCACTGCCATACCATGCTAACTCTTGGAACCTTGGAGTGGCAGGGAGGAGCCCCAGCTCCCCATCCCCTGAGGGCCTCCACACTACCTTACAGCAGGACCTATCTAAGCCTCCATTTCCTCACTCAAAAAATGGGGAATAATGATAATATATATCTCATATCATATATCACCCTGTTTCCTATGCTCGAGTGCAGTGGCACCATCATAGCTCACTGCAGCCTTGACCTCCTGGGCTCAAGAAATCCTCCCACCGTAGCCTCCTGAATGGCTGGGATTACAGGCTTGAGCCACCACACCAGGCTAAGGGGTTAAAATGAGCTAATGCATACAAATTAGCTGTCTCTTTGCTTGGACATAACCTCAGTATTTGTAATCCTAACCCATATCTGATTCCAGCACTTAGGCTCCATTCACATCTTTTCATACCCTTCCCTTGCCCTCTGCCTCAGTCGGAACTCTCCTAGATTGTCTTCACCGCCCTTTCCCACCGTATACTCACACTCTTGAGCTTCCACATTAATTATTGAGTCATCTGGGTTATTGGGTACTCTGGTCTGGAGACTAATGAGGATAGCCCTGCCCTTGAGGAGCTCAAGGAGCTGTCCCTAGGTAGCAGTGGGGACTGTTACAGAGCTGGAACCAAGGATGGGGGCTGAGCACACTGGCGTTGAACAAGGCTACCTAGTGGAGAAAGCTGCTGCGTGGGAAGATCAGCTGAGCTTTCTTTGTTATTTCTTCCTCTTGGTCTAGGTTCTGAGAGCAAATCTAAATGTCTTCTGGATACCTTAAAAGTAACACCTGGAGTCAGGTGGACTCCACATGGTTCCGAGGAAGAGAGTTCCACTAAAGGCATCCCTGTAAGTGTGACTGACTTGAGGCAGTGGCAGCCTCAGCCAGGCCAATGTGGGTGTGCAGCCCAGGGGATTGGGGGAGAAGGGATGCCCTTCAGCCTTTGTGCGCCCATCTATTCACCGATAGTGCTGGCTGCACTGCCAGGAGAAGGGAACTTGGAGAGAAGTCACAGTTCTCTTTAAAGGAATTAAAATTATACTCATATCATTCTTTGTCCTGTTTCCAAGACAGCTTTATTCTGTGAAAGCATAAGGAAAAGCAAAGAAAAGACACCCTTATCTCTCTGCCTTTAAGACATCAAAGCTAGTTATCCTGGGGTCCGGATGGTACATCGGTGGATTATGGCCACATGTTGTCTGGCTGCTTGTGGTGTCACCTGGTCTCTACATGAGCTCCCAGCCACATAGGAAAATGGCCTTATTGGTTCTCCCTTTCTCCAAGGCCGTCTTGTTTTTTTGACTTGCCTGGTTAAAGGGGCTTCTTCTTCAATTTTTGAGGGAAGACTTCTCTGGGCCGTCACAGACAGAAACTTTGGAAAACCTTTGCGATCGTTTCAGTTCTCCCTTGTGCCAGGAGGGTAGCATAACAGATAAAGTACTTTCCCCTCCTCTCTCCTCCCTCCTCCCCCTCCC